GGTGAGTGATAAGGTCGGCAGCAGTGTGAAACGAGGCTAAGTCTGGGAACAGGTAAGGCAGGATGAGACTACCAACGGTGGCTGTGGCCGGGGCGGAATAGCGGGCAACGACAGCATCATACAGCGTCTTAGCAGTCTTAAGCTGGTTGAAATGCGCGCGCTCAGAGATCGGTAGGTGATTGCGAATAACAAGGCGCGCGACTGCATCACGGAGCTCCCACTGTGCTCGTTCAGGGGCAGGAGCAGTCTCAGCGGGAGTAGGGACAGTGCCGGTCACATAGGCTAGCAGTGACACTCCGTCTGCGACGTCAGTCATAAGGTAAAGGCGCAGGTCACTAAGCCAGGTGTCAAACTCGATGGGGCGGCCGTCAGGCTCAAAGGCGAGAACAGTAAGGGTCGCCATGGTTGCAGCGCAGTCAAAAGTAGCAGGCTCAGGCAGCAGGCTCAGGCAGCAGGCTCAGGCAGCAGGCTCAGGCAGCAGGCTCAGGCAGCAGGCTCAGGCAGCAGGCTCAGGCAGCAGGCTCAGGCAGCAGGCAAAGACTGCAGGTTCAGGCAGCAGGCTCAGGCAGCAGGCTCAGGCAGCAGGCAAAGGCTGCAGGCTCAGGCAACAGGCAACTGTAGCAGGTAAGGAAGCACGCAGTTCTGTGACAGGCCGCGTGTAGGCTGGCGGGGCGCGACGTGAGCTGCGCGGGCGGTGCGCGGGCCGCGTGCGGACTGCGCGCGGGCTGCGCGGGCTGCGCGCGGGCTGCGCAGGCTCAGTGCGGGCCGCGCGGGCTCGGCGCGGGCTGCGCGCGGGCTGCGCGGGCTCAGTGCGGGCCGTGCGGGCTCGGCGCGGGCTGCACGGACGGTGCGCAGGGCAGCTGCGGGCCGCGCGGGCTCAGGGCGGGCTGCACCAGCGACCTACGGGGCGCGACGCGGCTGGCAGCAGCTGTGCGCGCTAAAAAAAAAAGGCGTGCGCGCGCAGCCGAGGCGCGCGCGGGTAGCAGGCTAGGCAGATACGTATGCAAGGCAGGCAGGTAGGCCGTTGGGGAGGTAACTTAGCACATGGTGGGCCCTTAAGCTTAGGTCTAGGAACCTGCTCTAGATGCCATGTCGAGAGAATCAGGCAAGGTTGAGTTCACTATCGAGAGTTTGGTACAAATAACACAACCCTAAAGTGTTATCTCCTACAACATCTACCCCACTACAGCCTACCAATATATATCACACATATATATCATTTGACAAAATTTTACCCTAGGGGTCTGTTCAAGGAGGGCCTAGTACCCTGATTTGGAAGAGTAGGCCTAAACCAATTTTGGGCCCTGATTCTTGCCCTTGTATCAATCTAACCTCATATCAAGCTCCACGGAAAATTCCCCTAATCTCAAAACCTCTCGCTAGTTTTACCAGGCAAAAAGTACATTCTTGATATGAGGTGGCCTGATATGAAGCTATAGGAATACGCTCTAATAAGGTTTGCTTTTGTGCGTTCTCTTAAAAAAAAATCCTCGATTCATACGAGTTGCTTATACTGTCTGTGATACTTGAGTCGTACCTGCATCCTTATCAAGTTGTGCAGTAGGTAGAACGCTTTGTCTTTACCGTATCTGACTCAACAAAAAATATATTTTGGTTTCACGAAAATGTGCCATTTTGCAAGCATGTTAAAAAAATGTTGGCTGAAAGAGCATTTAGGTCAATACCATTTGTTTAAAAGAAATTAGGTGCAGATATGCAGAATATGCTGTTACATTTTCCAAACGAGTTTGGTGAATATTGGAATGCTGTAGTCCTTCGCTCATTAGGAACTCAATCTTCTCCCTTCTGCCCTCCGCAGCCCCACCCTAACCCTGCGCGCCCCGCTGGCGTCTCGTGTCGGCACTCTAAGCACTCGTGCCGCCATGCTTCTCCGCGCCCTCTCCTTGCCGCCCTCCGCTCCGCGCCTCCCGCGCCCTTCCGCCACATTGACATCCCGCCCCATGGATGTCCGCCTTCCACGCGCCAACACCTGCCCCTTCCCGTGTGCACCGATCGCAGAGGGGCGCGAAGCGGATTCCGCGGAGAGGAGATACGGCGGACTGATTGGTAGGGAAGCAGGCAGCCGCGGGTGGCGGGGGGTGGGCATGGCGCGGCGAAGTAAGGAGGAGAGGCGTGAGAGGTGGGAGGGAGGGGGAAGCGCAATGCGTTACAAGGATGGCGCGGGAGGAGGCGGAACAAACGGGGTGCTTGCTTTGGAATGAATGCTCGCCGCATTAGGGTCGAATGTCCCTCCTTGTGTGCATGGCGTGGCGTGGCGTGGCGTGGCGTGGCGTGGCGTGGCGTGGCGTGACGTGGTGTGGCATGTGATTGCATGTGGCTTGTCCAGCACCGTCTCATGTGGAGCGCCGTGCGGTGTGCAGGTGGGAGCGCAGTGAGCGGTGGCGTGTGGAGCAACAACAGCAGCAGAGCGCCACCCGCCAATGCATCCACTGCTGCACCTCACAGCAGCAGCAGCACCACCACCACCAGCAGCAGCGCCACCAGCAGCAGCGCCACCAGCAGCAGCGCCACCAGCAGCAGCGCCACAAGCAGCGTCACCAGCTGCGTCACTAGCAGTAGCGCCACGAGCAGCAGCAGCACGAGCAGCAGCGAGGGTGGGAGCAGGGGCGGCGAGGTGGTGCTGTTGTTTGACGTGATGGACACGCTAGTGCGCGACCCCTTCTACCACCACATCCCAAACTTCTTCCAGTACTCCCTCCCCCTCCCCTCCTGCCCTCCCTTTCCTCCCTGCCCTCCCTTTCCTCCCTGCCCTTCTTCCCGTCCTTGGCCTTCCTCCCCTTCCCTGCCTTCCCCCCCTTCCCTGCCCTCATCACCCCTTGCCGCGCATGGATCAACCCTGCTCGCGTGTGTCCTCGGGCTTGCTCTCTCCTTCGCACACGCACCCCCGTCATGCTCATGCATGCATGCCACTGCTCCTAGAAACCCTTGGGCAACCTTACTCCCACCCTGCCCTCCCACCTGGTCTTCCCTTCCCACCAATGCCTGCCCTCCCCACACCTCTTCATCCCCCCCTGGCTCTCACCCTCCCTCTCGCCCTCACCCTCGTCCATCCTTTCTCTCACACCTACCCCACGCTCCCCGTCCTCTCCATCTCTCTCCCTCCACACCTCTACCCCAAACCCTGCCAGGATGAGCATGCGGGAGTTGCTGCAGCAGAAGCATCCAACGGCGTGGGTGGACTTTGAGTGCGGCCGCATATCCGAGCACCAGCTGCACCAACGCTTCTTTGCAGACGCCCGCCCCTTCGACCTGCAAGGCACGCCCCTCCTTGCCCTGCCAACCCTGCTTTGCACACCTCCACATGACGCACTCAATGGGGGGAAGGGGGGAGCGAGGAGTGGGGAGGGGTGGGAGAGGCGTGGAGTGGGAGAATAGCAGCGGGGGACGGGGAGGGGGGGGGATGGGTGTTACGAAGTCTTCACCTTGCTGCTCCTCTGCACCCCTGCCTCATCATGCCGCTGTGTGCATCACAGCCCCCCCATCATTCAGCCATGCCCCTCACCATGCTGCCACAACAGCAGCTTTCACACTGTGTCTCGCTACCTCGTGTGTGCGGCTATGAGCAGGGCTGAAGGCAACGATGCAGGGGGCGTACGAGTGGGTGGAGGGCATGGAGCCCTTGCTCGCTACTCTCAACGCTCACGGCTTCGCCACCCATGCCTTCACCAACTACCCTCCCTGGTACCCTCCCTCTCACCTTCCGCCTTCAAATACTCTCCCTCTCCATCTTGTTCCATCCTCCTTCCCATGCTTTCTTTCTCCCTGTCTCTGTTCCGTCTCTTCCGTCTTCTCCAACTCTCCCCCTCCTTGCTTGCTCACACACCTGCCACTGGGACGCTTCCCCTGTGTTCTCTCTGATCCATCACAAGCCGCATGCTATGCTATGTCTGTGAATGTCCCTCTGCGCATCTCCCACTGCACCGCATCTGTGCAACATGAATGCCATGCGCACATGAACATAATCCGCGATGCATGCATGCCATGCCATGCAGGTACCACATGATAGAGGACAAGCTCCGCCTCTCACGCTACCTGCAATGGACCTTCGTCTCCTGCCACATGGGTGCGTGCCGTGCCATGTGCCATGCTGCACAATGTTGGATGGTGCATGGGTGTGGGATGGTGCATGGGTGTGGGATGGTGCATGGGTGCGGGATGGTGCATGGGTGTGGGATGGTGCATGGGTGCGGGATGGTGCATGGGTGTGGGATGTTGCATGGGTGTGGGATGGTGCATGGGCATGCGATGGTGCAAGTGTGTGCCACGGTGCGTGCATATACAATGAGCCACATTGCCCTGCATCCTCATCTGCATGAACTTTCCAACACCCTTTTTCTGAGCCCCTTGCTCAAGCCTGTCATGCCATCATTCCCACCCTCGCCCACCATGCATGCATGCATGCGCAGGTGTGCGCAAGCCCTCCCCCGAGGCGTATAAAGCAGCACTGACATCCCTCGCTGTAGAGCCCTCCACATGCATCTTCATTGACGACAGGTGCACCACCCGTCCTCACACCTCTCCCTCCCAGCCCTATTCCTCAATCTCCTTTGTTTTTGTCTCGATCTGCTTTGTCTTCCTTTCCATCCCAAATGAATTCTCACATTCTTTTCTACCATCTGGGCTTTATCTTTTGCTCGTCATTTCAGGGAGTCAAATGTGCTAGCAGCAAGAGGTGTGGGAATGACAGGCATTGCGTTTCAGTCAGCCAAGCAGCTTGCTGCCGAACTCTCACCCCTCCTTAATATTCAGCTTTAAAATCACATTGAAAATTGGCACATACAAGCTGTATAACAATACCGTAACTAGTCCCTAAGTTTAGCCTCTGCCAGAGCCGCCAGACGCATTTATTCCGTGTAACAGCAAGCAGAACTAGCTGCATAACGAAGCCCCTCTATGACCACCAAACACGCACGTGGTTCGCCAACCTACCCACAAACACAATGCATCCCTAATATCGTGAATCGTATGCACGATGGCCGCTACTTCCTCCCGACCCTCGTATAGTACACGATGCACCGACGGTTCTGTCATGACAGGGCGGAGGTGATTAAGGGAACGGGCAAAATGGTTTAGCGGGATTGGAAAGTTGTTGTCAGAAGTGCGGGTGCAGCGAGAGGCACGGACAAGCAAGAGGCGACGAGAGGAGGCCCGCACGATGCACGAGAGGCATGCGCGACGAACAATAGCTCGACTGACATGGCCCGGTATCCGCGCACGAAGCAGGGCGCAGGAGAGACGCGGCGGCACTGACCTCGGGGAAGCCCTTTTTGTTGTCGTTGGGGTTGAGCCAGCCCATCTGGTTCATCTGCAGGTTGTCCATGTACAGCAGGATGCACTTGCCCTGGTATTGCTGTCCGCCCCGCGCGCGCCACGCACACGCCACGCGTACGCCACACGCGAGTTGCGTGAACACCACACGGCACATGCGCACGCAGCCAGTCGGGGAGGAAAACGAAGGTTACAGAGAGTCGATAACAATAGAGAGAAACCGCCGACAACCTTTGGAGTCACGACGAGAACGCACGCCAAGGGAGTTGCTTAGTACGCAGAGCGAGGCGCGAAGGGAGCGCGAGGGCGCGAGCAGGCGAGCTCACCATGATGTTCTCAGGCGTGATGGGGTGCGCCGCGAGGCGGTTGGCGCGGTTCACGTAGAGCGGGCCGGGGTACTGGTTGCGGAAGAAAAACGTCGGGCTGCACTTGGGGCCCACCTGTTGGGGGTCACGCGCGCAGAAAGCGAGCAAGAGTGGAATTGAGTGTGAGCCCGTGCAATTGATCATCGAAAGCGGTTGAAACGGAGACGCGATCAGCGGGGAATGAGCGTCAACTGAAAAGCAGGGCGCGTTGAAGCAAACTGGCGGAATGGGGAACACTGCGAGAATTAGGATGGGCTGGGCTTGCGGCGTTACCTCGCAGCTACGGTTGCCATTGTTGTTGGCAGTGATCACGGGAAACCCCTTCCTGCACGCCGCAAAATCGCACCGGCATACCATTTAGAGGCGAAGTATGCGAAGATCCATGTAGTAAGCGCACAAGGAAATGACGGCCAAGCGAGCTGCTGCAGGGCTGGCGTAAAGCACACCTGTGAAAGATGGGCGAGCTGAGAAGCTGATTGACTTGGCGCCTGGAGAGGACAAAAGTGGGCGGCTTAGCGCGGAATCCCTGGAAGAAAAAATCGCAAGCCTCGAAGGTCGACGAACACTGCGCGTCCGCCACGGCGACCAGTGCTGCAAGAACGGTACGGATGAAAGCGAGGAACGCAAACTGTTAGCACGGGACAGATTGCCTGGCTGGAGCATACTGCATAACAGCGAAGGGTACCTAGGAGTGCGAGCGCTGAGAGGAGAATTGCATGACGAGTCCTCATGGCTGCGGAAGTGAGTTGGCTTGGTGCAGGGAAAAACTGGGGTGGTGTGAAGTCAGGGAGAGCAGGGAAGGAGGGTTGTTTTGGATGCTTGGGAGGTGCTTTTGGCGGTGAGGAAAAATGGGCCGATGTTTTCATGAATGGGGTTTGGAATGCGGTGCGTCTTGTATTAGCGACTCGAGCGAACGGTGTGCTGGGTGGGTGTTTTGATGCCCTCAATGACGACTTTTGTGCGCCGTGCGATTCGACGACGAAGCTCCTTGCGATTCCGTGATGGAAAACGAGGCTCGCATGACTGACGGGAAGGGTCAAGGAGATGTCGGCGTGCCTGACATGTTCACGAACCACGACTCGGTTTCAGCGAATCAGAGAGATCAAGATCAACTTGTTATTCCCGATGCATAGTTCTTATCCGTAGATTCTGCGCTGAGAAGAGATTGACGGCCAACTGTTGGCGCAGGCAAATTTCACGTCCGCAAGTTTCGAGGCTGTCGACAATGGGCGATTCCTCCCCACGTCGCCATGTCAGTGTGTCGCCACATCACATCGCGTGGCATTCACCCTTGGGGCATGTCTCTCCCTATGCATTAAAAAATCCGCTAATCCGCTATTTCATAACGTTTTCGTGTTTCCCGTATTGAACTGCTACGTATGCTAGGTCTAGTTTTTTAACAAAAATGGAAAACTGACTCAGTAGATATTATAATTTTTGAACACACATGTAGTGTTTTTTAAAATTGTGTATTGTGAAAGCGAAGCTGCTTGTACTGCACAATTGGCATCGTCGAAGCGCGCTAAACGCCCTTCTCCAACTACAAAAACCGTGGGTTGGAGCTCATTTCCCTCCACCCACGTTTCTCAATTTTCAAACGGCTCACTCAACATTTCCGCTCGAGTAGTTTTTCCCTCCAAGCTGGCTAGGATTAAATCGCTTCCTAGAGGCGAGTCACCCTCTACTTTACTCAGCGACATTTTCAACTTCAATCGCTCAACGATGGCACCTACGCCGACACTTAACAACGGGAACTCGTCAACCCCCGCTTCCGACTCCGACCGTAACGCCCGCGATTCTGCGGGCGAACGCCGTAACAAGCGTCGGGCAGAAGACGGACCGTCCGCCCCGACTGCAGTGGACGTGCTGCTGGGCGGGCTCGAGGTCAACAAAAACGCCGAAACCCAGCAGCACCCTTCGGTCCCTGTGGCGCCAGTGGCGCCTGTGGCGCCAGTGGCACCTGTGGCGCAAGTGGCGACGGGGGCTGGCGCGGCACACGCGACTGACGCCGAGCACACGCCAGCACCCGCTGCTGGACCGTCGCGTCAGCGCCAGAGGAGGCGGACTGCAGTCTCCTCGTCTGACGCGACCGCCGCCCCTGCGCTGACGCAGGCGTTGACCCCGGACCAGGTCAACGCGCTGCTGTCCCTTCTACAGCAGCAACCCGTCAGCGTTACAGCCACGGACACTGCACTACCCGCCGCATCTGCGTCGGCTAAAAAAGAAACTGCAAAAAAGGAAAAAGGCACGCGAGGAGCACGGACGAACCGGCATGATAACGACGCAGCGACCGCCGCTCCCCCTGCTCCAGCGGTCGACAACGACACCGACGACTCTGAAGATGAAGCCGGTGAGGCTCCCGTCAACAATGCTAATTTTATTGGCACGGAACACCTCCCCCCCCTCCCTTCTTCTAACCTTACCTTCTCGGCGGCAACCTTCGTCAACGACTCCGTGCGAGAGCAAGCGGAGCTGCTGGAGGACCTGCGGGCGTACCTGCTGCACGCCGAATACAAGGCGCAGCGCGGCGATCCGGCGGGCGGACTCGAACTCATCTCACACGCTCTCAACCTCATCGCGGGGCGTTTCGAGGTGCTTCAAGTGGAGGACGCCTCCGACTTCCGCACGGCGAAGCGCTTCAAGCTGTACCAGCAGAAGAGCCTGCTGACTTCTCGACCCTTCAAGCAGGCAGTCGCGGACATGGCGGCGATGGACCGTGCGGCAAGCGGATACGCTCGTGTCAACCGCGGCGGAAACAACGGGCCAATTGCCGTGGGTTCCGAGGCTCATGCTTCCGCTGCGGCCAGCCGGGCCACGTGGCAAGTGCCTGCCCTCGGAACGGGCATGGCGGCCAGGGACCCGCTCCGGTGGTGTAGGAGCGGGCCATGGGACTAGGCGCTTGGGCGCTAGGCACGGTGCACTCTTGAGTGCGAAGACCGTGGGCAACCCTAGGGGTTTGCGATGGCAAGAGGCCAGCCCTAGTAAAGGGTGGGATAGGCTTTGGGCCTAGGAGAGGGAAGGGGAACAACAACCCCTCGGTCCCATATGTTTGGCCACTTGGTGGCATGATGCATGCTAGGAAAGCATTGCTATGTGTGTTGGTTGATTTAATAAAAACTACCTTCCTAAAGGCCTATGGTTTTGGCAAAGAGACTATGAAAATCAAGAGGAGGAAGAGAGAGAGTGAGAGAGAGAGAGAGAGAGAGAGAGAGAGAGAGAGAGAGAGAGAGAGAGAGAGAGAGAGAGAGAGAGAGAAAGAGAGAGAGAGAGAGAGAGAGAGAGAGAGAGAGAGAGAGAGAGAGAGAGAGAGAGAGAGAGAGAGAGAGAGAGAAGAGAGAATGAGAGAAAGCACAATGGACAACGGTGTCCATGGCCCTAGGCATCAGCCCCCACGCACAAAGGGCAAGCACAACCGTCCTACCAAGTGGACGACGGGACAAAAAAAAAAAAAAAAAAAAAAAAAGGAAACGAGGAGAAGAAGAGACATGCGTTGACATGCGTTAACACTCCCGACACATTCGTTGACATTTCATTCAATGGTTAATTCTCGTCACACCTTCGATCAATGGTTGCCCGTACATGTACATGCACACGCATGCTTTAACATGGAATACTCAACCCTTATACCACTTGGCCTCACATGTACAGGAGCACGACGGTGCGAGGCGGCATGCTACGACGATCCGTACGAATTTGCCGTTACAGACAGAACTATTACACACATGCGCGGTCGTCTCCGCGCGACATTTGCGTGGTGGAGCTCATGGTGCCCCAGCAGCCTTGTCCTCTCCGTCATCGCCAAGGGTTACTGGTTGCCATGGAGCCACGGCCCACCGCAACATTTCCACGATCGCAATCATGTCGGGGCAAACACGCATGCCACGTTCACACGTACCGCCATCCAAGAACTCATAGAGACGGGAGCGGCAATTCCGATGGCCGCAACGGAGCTTACGTGCATAAGTCCACTCAACGTGGTCGAGCAAAAAGACAAATGCAGGCTCATTCTTGATCTGAGGAAAGTCAATGCCAACTTGATCATCCCCAAGTTCAAGTACGAGGGGCTCAGCCGCGTCGCCGACCTGGCGCGCGTTGGGGACTGGATGTTCTCCATTGACCTCAAATCTGGTTACCACCACATCGACATCCACCCATCGTGCTGGAAGTTCCTTGGCTTTGAATTTGACAAGCGCACATACGCATTCCGTTCACTACCATTCGGCCTCGCGACAGCTCCATTCGTTTTCACGCAGCTCATTAAGCAACTAGCTCGGCGTTGGCGAGAACAAGGCATCCGAGTCGTCCCTTACGTGGACGACATCTTATTTCTCTGCCAGTCGAAAGACGACGCGCAAGCAACTTGCCAACGGGTGATATTGGATCTTAAAGAGGCAGGCCTTGTGATAAACGCGAAGAAATCACAACTGTCACCATCGCAGCGTCTCAGATTCCTGGGCGTAGAACTTGAGACCGATACCGGCCGATTCTCCATCGGTCCAGACCGACGAGCCTCACTACATGCAACCATCCGGAACCTCCTGAGCGCAAGCAAGGCATGCCGACCAGTCCCGGTCCGCCACGTGGCCAGAATCACTGGCATGCTCGCATCGATGGGTGTCGCACTTGGCGCGACCGCTCGCGCATTCAGCCATGCTATGTTACAAGTGATCAACGACGCACCGTCATGGAAAAGCAGCGTCGTTATCCCCCCATCTGCAGCAGAAGAGCTCCAATTTTGGCTCGAGGAGTTCGACCGTTTCAACGGCGCACCTTTTCACGTCAAGAACAGCTACGACGCGGTAATCCATGTGGATGCCAGCTCTCATGGTTGGGGCGCCACTCTGACCACATTTCCGGGTGGCCTCGAAGAAGCTAGCGCGACCATGTCAGAGCCGCTACGAGGAACGTCTAGCACACGACGGGAGATCGAAGGCGTCCTTTGGGCGCTACAAACGTACGCGAACAAGATCAAGCAAAAACACGTTCTCGTGCGGGTGGACAACCAGGGCGTATTCTTCATCCTTCGCAAAGGCGGCTCTCACAGCCCCGACCTCACAACGGCATGCAAGAGCATCATCCGAACATGCATGGCGCTTGGCACGCGCTTGATCATTGAATGGATTCCGCGCGAGCTCAACACACACGCCGACGAGCTTTCAAAAATGGTCGACCACGACGATTACGCGCTGAAAACGCCGTGGTTCCGGATCTTGGAACGTCGTTGGGGTCCTCACTCCATCGACCTCTTCGCAAACTTCCGCAACACCCTGTTAAACTGTTATATGTTGGTAGGCTGTAGTGGGGTAGCCAGTATGGGGTACAACCCCAACTAGGGTTAGCTACTTGTACCCAACTGTTTCATTCAATGCATCGTCCTCACGCTAGTATTCTGATATGGTATTCAGAGCAGGTGGTCCCTAGGACCATCCGATCGTTTTTTTTAGGGCCCACCACCGCACGCTGCGGTTACCGCGTTACCCCCGCGCCCTACCCTCGTAGCGCCCTCGTTGCGCTCTAGCGCCCTCGTAGCGCCCTTTGTAGCGCCCTCGTGCGCCCTGCCGACCGGCGTCCTGCCAGCCCAGAGCCCCGCGCGCCTCCCCTGCTTTGCCCGTCGCGCCGCCCGCTCTGCCCCGCGCTGCCCGTCGCGCTGCCTCGCAGCCCCGCGCACCGCCCGCTGTGCCCCGAGCCGCCCGTCGATCTGCTGCGCAGCCCCGCGACCCGCCCGCCCTGCCCCGCGCTGCTCGTCGCTCGGCTCTGCAGCCCCGCGCGCCGCCCGCTCTGCCCCGCGCAGCCCGTCGAGCTGCCTTGCAGCCCCGCGCGCCGCCCGCTTTGCCCCACGCCGTCCGTCGCGCTGCCCGCCCGCCCG